GTGAAGCCATGTTGGCTGTCTCCAATAACCTCCTTCTTTTCCATGTGCCCCAGCATAGTTTCCAGAAGGATCTGCTCCATGATCTTGCCAGGCACAGAGGTGAGACTGACCGGCCTCTAATTCCCCAGGTCTTCCTTCTTTCCCTTTTTAAATACAGAGGTTATGTTTCCTCTCTTCCAGTCAGCGGGAACTTTGCTGGACTGCCACAGCTTCTCGAAATATGATGGATAGTGGCTCAGCAATCTCATCTGCCAGTTCCCTCAGGACCTGTGGATGTTATCTCATCTAGTCCCATAGACCTGTGCACCTTCAGGTTCCTTAGATGGTCTCAAACCTGATTCTCTCCTACAGTAGGCAGTTCTTCATTCTGCCAGCCCCTGCTTTTGCCTTCTGAGACTCGGGTATTGTGGCTGGAGCACTTGCCAGTGAAGACTGAGGCAAAAAAGTCATTGAGTACTTCAGCCTTCTCCATATCCCAGGTAGCCAGGACCCCCGTTTCCTTCCAGAGAGGGCCCACATATTCCCTAGTCTTCCCTTTGTCACTGACATACCTTGTTGTCCCTGGCCAGATTTAATTCTGTCAGGGCTTTGGCTTTCCTAACTTGATCCCTGGCTGCTCGGACATTTTCTCTGTATTCCTCCCAGGCTACCTGTCCTTGCTTCCACCCTCTGCAGGCTTCCTTTTTGTGTTTGAGTTAGTCCAGGAGCTCCTTGTTCATCCACGCCGGCCTCCTGGTGTTGTTGCCTGGCTTCCTCTTCGTTGGGATGCATCACTCCTGAGCTTGGAGGAGGTGGTCCTCAAAAACTGACCAGCTTTCTTGGGCCCCTCTTCCCTCCAAGGCTGTACCCCATGGTACTGTACCAAGCAGATCCCTGAAGAGGCCAAATTTGCTCTCCTGAAGTCCAGGGTAGCGAGCTCGCTGTGCGCCCTCCTGACTGCCCTAAGGATCTTGAGCTCCACCATTTCATGGTCACTGCAGCCAAGGCTGCCCCTGAGCTTCACATTCCCCACCAGCCCTTCCTCGCTGGTGAGAACAACGTCCAGCATAGCTCCTCTTCTCGTTGGCTTCTCCACCGTTTGAAGAAGGAAGTTACTATCAACACATTCCAGGAACCTCTTGGATTGCTTGTGCCCTGCTGTGCTGTCCCTCCAGCAGATACCAAGGTGGTTGAAGTCCTCCATGAGGACCAGGGCTTGTAAACATGAGGCTGCTCCTATCTGTCTATAGAAGGCCTCGTCCGCTCGGTCTTTCTGGTTGGGCAACCTGTAGCAGACCCCCACTTTGATGTCCCCTGTCCCTGCCCTCCCTTTAATCCTGACCCATAAGCTCCTTATCCTTCCCCAGACAGAGCTCTGTGCAGCTCCATTATTAAAAAAAATATATATTTATATTTAAGACAGTGGGTGGGAGTGCTACTAGGCTCTGTCGCAGGGTCTAGCAGTGCTTGTGTTTGCATGTGAGTGGCTGTGCCTGGGAAATTCTGCGTTTTACCCAAATGCCAGCCAGGGAACGTACTTGTTTCCAACAGGCTTGCAGGGAAAATGTTCTCAACTTGATTTTTAACCCTTGCCAAGCAGGAAAACCAGCCAAGGGAGATACTGCACGTTGCTGGATGTTGTTCCTAAAGGAACGATATTTATTTTTTTTTCCCTTTTTTGCCATCCTGCCTTTGTAAATGTGGTCCATTTTCTCCCCAGACATCAGGCATCCAGAAGAGCTCTCCCTTTTGAGGAAACCCAGAGATCCATCAAAGAAAAAAAAGAAGAAGTTGGACGATCAGTGTGAAGATGACGCCTTTGAGCTGGAGGGTCCGCTGATCACGCCGGGGTCCGGTGAGCCGGGACTTGCTTTGTGAGGACGAGCTTGCAGGGGGCAAACAGATAATAAAAAGGGGGGAGGTGGGGGTGGTGGAATGACACAGTATCGGTCTGACCTAATTCCTTAAGGTCTGTGCAAGAAACAGACGCCAAATAAATTCCACAAATCATCCAGGGCTGCAGCACTCGGTCGCGGTCGCACAGATGCATGCCTGAAGCTGTCACGCCTAGAGGGGAGCAGAGCAACGCCAGCCTTTATCAAATACAACAGAAACGAAGCGTGACCACTGTAACACTCAGATTGTGTGGCTGAAAAGTTTTCTTGCCCTGTTAAGAAAGGAGTTAAATGGGAAATCGTTCCTAATGTCAAATTCCAGGTGTGTTTTAAGCAGTACCGCCGCTTTACTCCTTATTTATAGCCCAGCAAACGCAGGATTTGACTAATTGCATTAGTGGTCCCTTATGTTAAGGGTGTAGCTATAGATCCTAGTGCTAAAAAAACCCCGACCCTTTCACTGCTGTGGGGGATAGTTTGCCAGTCTGGCTTACAGAACCAGAGCAGCACTGGTAAGAGAGCTGCTGGTGGAGTAACGTCGCTGATGGAGTTACACCTCTTGCCCCAGGCAGCACATTGATGCAGGGAGGTATTTGCAAGCGGAGGGGTTTTTCTGGCTCTACTCTGTGGCTGCTGGAGGTCCGGTGTTCGGTGGCAAATGGCAGGAGCTTAAACCATCAAGTCGGTCAAGTGGGAGCACTTTAGCCCAAATGGACTTGTGGGGAAAGCCGCAGCGACGCGCGCTGCCAGGGGGGCGAGACGTGTCCGGCTGCCGAAGCTCTTGGTTTTAAGTGCGGCGATGAGAGGGAAGCAGGGCAGCTTTAATTAAAAAAAAAATGGTCTTGCAATTCAGTCGGCATGTATTAATTGGCCTTAAATTAACTGAAGTGCAAGTGAAGGTCATGCAGCGTGGTTAGTGCCACCGGCGCTCGCAAGCAGAAAGGTTTTGGCTGGGCAAGGACGACGATGCCCTGGAGCTGCCGTGCCAAAGTGATGTGCACCGTGGGCTCCGCGGCAAACCATCAGCACGGGTCCATGGCAAGGGAAAAATAATCCTTCTTTTGCTCTGATCTCGCTCTTTCTCCTCTCAGTTACTTAAAAATACTTCTGGGCTGGTCCTCTCTCACTCCTGGCTCGAGGAGTTTTCCCTGCATTGGGCAAGGCTCCAGTCAATTTTCATTTTCATTTGGCATTTTCCTCTTGAAAGTCCGTAATTAGCCTTTCCAAAAGTCAGTGTTTGCGGAGAGCATCTCTGTTAGATTAATAGGAAATACTTGGCCTGCTTTGGGGGAAACGTGCGCAAAAGATAGGTTTTTATTTTAATTATTTATTGGTCTTTCAGTGAGTCACTTTGAAGTGTCTTGCTGGTTTTTTTGCTTTCCTTGTGAATGACATTACTTTTGCTGCAGGTTTAATTACTGCAGCTACCTGCCATGTTCAGGTGCCATTAGTTAAAAGTCATGTTTTTAATCTGACTAAACTGTTTTCTAGCGTTGTTCCAACATCAGTTTGTGCGCTGAAGGCTTCTGTAAAACGAGTTAGTATTTCGGGATCTGCTTATTTCAGTGCATGTAGATGTAATGGGCATGTTTTGTCACTGAGCACCCCGTACCTGGCAGTGAAACCCTTTAAATCGCTGTAGGCAGAGCTGTCAATACAGTAAAAGTTGCCCAACGCTTTCCATTAGGAGACCTGTATTCACTTGTTCATAAGTTAGCCGAACTTATAGCTATTTCAGCTGGAACTTTCCATGACATCGCCTGCCTCGAGCAAATTTTTTTAAGGGAAGCTTCTTCTGGGATGTTTCAGACATTTGGAGAAGGTGGTGAGGAGACCATCCGAGGGGAAGCTTCGCTCTTCTAGTGCAGCCGGTCAAGCGGAGGGAGGTGGGGGGATGGCTGTGGGAAAACCTGCCTGAGTTGGGGCGAGAGGTGGGATTTGCTTTTGGTGGTGCAGTTAATGCTCAGCCCCGTCTGCTTGAGCCGCATGAAGGTTGAGGTTGGCTGTGAGAGCGGATGGGAGGGGAGGGGAGAGAGTTTTATGGTGGTGGTGGTTTGTTGCCGGTTCTTGTTGGGCTGCTCTGCTCCAGTGTTATAACGGTCCGTGGGGAGAGCACGTTTCTGCTGCTTTTGCGATCGTGGAATATCTCAAGTTGGAAGGGACCTTAAGGATCGTTGAGTCCAACCCCCAAAGTCTAAGTGCCTGCTATAAGCACCTGCCAAGTCACCCCCAGCCTTCTCCTTGCACGTGTGGAGCTTGGAGGTGGATATTTCCATCCCTTGACCATTTCTACTGCTTTTTTGCTCGTGCCTGGTTTGCCAGGTCTGTCTTGATGGCAGGTGCCCAATGGTGCTTACTGGTCCCTCAGGTCCTTAATTCAGACTGGGATCTGGCAAAACTAGCAGGAGCATTAAAAGCATCCTGGTGGTCTTCTTGTGTGATGGCCACGGATGGTTTTCACCTATATTTTCCATCCTGTCAGGCAGTGTAGAATCGCGTTTCTATATTATTTTAAGTTTCCTAAACAAACCGTTGGCCGTCATGGGTATGATGCTGCTGATTCAAACCCTTCTCACGACTCCTTGAGACACCCGTCACAAAAATGAGAGGTTGGGGAAGTCTGTCCTATTGCTTTGGTCTCAGACCCTCCCAGATGTCTAGCTCAGCTTTCTGTCGTTCCTCACGCGCTCAGGGAGGAGGGATCGCTTGGAGTGAGGAGCCGCAGGGTGGCCCGAGGGGGTGGTTCAGGGCAGCAGCAGGAGGTGGCACAGAGGACCGTGCTTCTGGCATCTCAACTTTACCACACGCCACCTTCAACGCCCTCTTGGAGGTCGAGTTTGGGTGCGTCGAATTGCGCGTCTGAACAGACTCGTGATTTAAAAAGGACACGACTTTGTCCCAAAAAGCCGGTTATTGGTCCTTTTAGGTACTGGTGCGCAGATTTGTGCCCAGCAAGTGACGCTGAGCTCATTGCCCAACACATACACGGTGGAATTACTGGCGTTAGGATACAGTCACTGAACCTCCCTTATTTTGAAAATCTGGATTTTATATTCCTAACGTAAAAATCAGCGCTCCCGTGAGGTGAATAGGGACTGTTTACTCTCAGCTGTTTTGGGGTGCGAGATACCAAGCTGGGTCCGCTTCCTTCTCTTCAGATTCGTTATCTTAAAAGGGGTGCGGTTTTTTTTTTGGTCTGCTTTGAGTCTGTACGAGCTGTAAAGCTTTAAAAGGCCTGGGAGTCACGTGTGCTTCAGGGTCAGTTTTGCACCAGATCGCACGACTTGCTCAGCATATTAATACCAAATTTGTTTGGCCGCCTCAGCGAGCTTCTCCGTCCGTGAAATGCCGTGTCGCCGTGCCCGGCTGTTCCTCGTAACAGGAGGAAAAATAACCGTGGAGTCACTTCGGTTGCTTTGCCTGCCGAGTCCACCGGCGCTGCTGCAAACACTCCGTTTGGGTGGTTAAACTTCACCTGTGCTATTCTGCCCACTTCTGAAAATGCCCATTTTCAGCTTCTGTCCTTTCCTCCTCTCCCGGTGACTTTCTCTCGCCTTCTCACTTCCCTCCTTTCTTTCCCTCTCTATAGGCACCGATATTCTTTACATCGGCCCCGTCAAAGGTGAGCTCCACCTCAGTAGGACTTTTGCCCTCTGCCTCTGGTCTCTTTGGCTGCACCCTTAGTTTATTTTCCTGCTCCTCTAAAACTTTTGACTTCCAAAATCTTTAAGCAACAGGTAATACCGGTAAGTTGGGGGCCCTTCGTGTCCCAGGTGCCACAGAAACTCAGGGGGCAGGAGTTTCCCGGCGTGGGAGATCTGCGCCTTTTCCCATGGATTTGGGCTGGAATGAGTTTTCCATCAGTTATGCTCTCGGGGAAGAGCTGAGAGAGAGGGGCAGCTTTTCATGGGAAAACAAGCAGTGTAGTGTTTTCCCATTGTGGAAAAAAAAAATGGTAAAAAAAAAAAAAAGGAACAAGAAGGGAAGGTTCTTTCATCCGCTTGCTTCGGGTTTGTGTCCGAGTTGGCTCGGTTGGGAGCAGGCAGGGCTTGGCCACAAGCTAACTCCCGGCTTTTATTCCTCTTACTGGTAGGAAACATATATTCCAGCCCAGGACTGTATAGCAAAACCATGACACCAACCTACGACGCTCACGACGGCAGTCCCCTGTCGCCCACGTCAGCCTGGTTCGGTGACAGCGCCTTGTCGGAGGGGAACCCGGGCATCCTGGCCGTGAGCCAGCCCGTCACCTCCCCGGAGTCCTTAGCAAAAATGTACAAGCCGCAGGCGCTGCTCGATAAAGCCAAAATCAACCAAGGGTGAGTTAACGAGTTGGTTTTCTGCTCTTTTCTTCTTTTTTTCTCTTTTTTTTTTTTTTTTCTTCCCCCAATATGTGGTTTAAATTGCATTCTTGAAAGCGTCGTTGCGACCTCTCCAGAGTTTCCTCTGTGTGTGTGTTATCCCGTGTTGACAATTTACAGATGGCTGGATTCGTCCCGATCTCTTATGGAGCAGGAGGTGAAAGAAAACGAAGCTTTGCTGCTCCGGTTCAAGTACTACAGCTTTTTTGACCTGAATCCAAAGGTACAGAGCTATTTCTTTTACGTGCATCTTGCAGGCCCAGGCTTTGAGCAAAGGGTGCCTGTAGCTCTGACGTGCTTTTGTGTCGGTAAATCCTCCGCCGCTTTCCAAACTGGGCGAGCAGGCCCCGTCCGTGGGCGTTGCGAGGGGTGCTCTAAGGTTGCTTCGGCTTTCTCAGATCGAAGCGTTGCGCTGGAATGAAGGAGGAAGGGGGTTGTCCTGAACTGCCCTCCTGCCTGTTACAACCGGCCCGTGTTTCTGCCGTAGTACGACGCGATCAGGATCAACCAGCTGTACGAGCAGTCCAAGTGGGCAATTCTGCTGGAGGAGATCGAGTGCACGGAGGAAGAAATGATGATGTTTGCGGCGCTGCAGGTAGGAGGCAGCCCGAGACGCTCACGGTTTGGGTTAGACTTGACTTTGTAGCTTTGCGGGCTTCTCTGTGGGTGAGTATCAGTGAACAGTTTCACTCTGTGGCTGAGGGAAATCTGCTGTAACTGGTGGTTTGAGGTTCACCTTGTCTTTGGTGGGAGCTTGGACTTCTCATGCTGGTAGAGGTCGGATCATTGCCCGTCTCCTAATCCTCACTTGAGCTTATTGGGGAATCTAAATATTTGCTGCTGGTTGCTCCTCAGGAAAAGGAACTCGGCCTTCTTTTACCAAACACGTTTATGTCTATCTTAGCTTTGAGTTTTGCCTTTCTTAAAAAACCCCAGTAAGTACACTAGGTTTCTGGCATGCTGCCCCCCCAAACAGCTGGTGATAATCTGTGGGTTTCCCAGAACTATTTATTTATCTGTTTTATAAAATGCTCAGCGTGATTTGGCATAAATACTACACCTGCTATTGACTTCTGTAAGACGGATGGCAGGCCATTTCCTACGTGTGGTCTGGCGTGCCTCGTCGCTGTAGGATGCAGAAATATCCCCATCAGGAGCAGGGCTGTCTGCTCCTAGGGCCCCTCCTAGGGAAAAAAAAAGAGTGAAAACAGAAATACAAAGACTCGGTTTACCTCTCCGAGCCGTCTAGAGAGGGTTGGGCATGGTCCTTTGTGTGAGATTTTATGGATGCTTTGGTTTTCTGGGGTAAAAACAGATGCAATGCCTCCTCCCGAACCGGGAGGCGTGGCTGATACACCAGAAGGTTGTGCCGCCATCCAGGGGGAACCTTGGCAGGCTGGAGAAATGGGCCAACATGAACCTTACAAAATTTAACAAAGGCAAGTACAAAGTCCTGCCCCTGGGGAGGAACAACCCCATGCACTGGTATATTCTGAGGGCCACCCCGTTGGGAAGCAGCTTGGCAGAAAAGGACCTGGAGGTGCTGGTGGACACCAAGCCGAACATCAGCCAGCAACGTGTCCTTGGGGCAAAGAAGGTGAAAGGTGTCCTGGGCTGCACTGGGAAGAGCATTGTCAGCAGGTCGAGGAATGTGATTGTTCCTCTCTGGTCAGCACTGGTGAGGCCACGCCTGGAGTGCTGCATCCAGTTCTGGGCTCCTCAGTGCAAGAGAGAGATGGACATAGTGGTCCATGAAGGGCCACAAGGATGGTGAAGGTCCTGGAGCATGTCTCCTGTGAGGGAAAGGCTGAGGGGGCTGGGACTGTTCAGCCTGGAGAAGGCTCAGGGGGATATAAATACCTGGTGGGAGGCTGTAAAGGTGGTGGGGGCCAGGTTCTTCTCAGTGGTGCCCAGTGGCAGGGCCAGAGGCAATGGGCACAAACTGCGACACAGGAGCTTCCCTCTGAACGTCAGGAAACGTTTTTTAACTGTGAGAGTGACCGAGCACTGGCACAGGTTGCCCAGAGAGGTTGTGGAGTCTCCATCCTTGGAGATACTCAAAAGCCAACTGGACGTGGTCCTGGACAACGGCTGTAGGTGGCCCTGCTTGAGCAGGGGGTAGGACCAGATGACCTCCAGAGGTCCCATCCGACCTCAGCCAGTCTGTGATGCTGGGAAAAGAGTAGCTCTGCCCTGCGGGGTCCAGAGCGGTCCTTCAGGGTTCGTACCACCAACTCCTTGGACTGAAAACAGCCAAGCTGGTCGTTCCTGACTCAACTGCACTCGGGTCTCAGCCCTCGTCGCCGTCTGCTCCCGTGGAGGCTCCGGTGTGACACTCCGCTTCCCAAGCGTGGTGGCTGGGTCGTGATGGACCCGCGGCATCCAGCAGATCCCAGGAGCGTCCCGGTGAAATGCTGTGCCTTGCCTTTCAGTACCACATCAATAAGCTGTCCATCATGTCCTCGGAAAACCACCTGAACAACAGCGACAAGGAGGTGGACGAGGTAGATGCTGCGCTGTCGGATCTAGAGATTACTCTGGAAGGTGGCAAAACGTCGACCATCCTGGTAAGGGTTGCCGGCACACGGTGGCAGGGTGGCTTGCACGTCCCCTCCTCATCTCACACGAGGCACGAATAATCCTCCCAAGCTGGGAAGTTTTCCAGGCTTCCAACCTTCTTTATTTCCTTCCTCTCCCCTTTTTTTTTTCTGTTTACAGCGTGAGAAAGTTGCCCACAGCCCAGTGAAGCAACATGAAACATAGACCCCCAATAATATTTTCTTAAAAATAGTATTTTTTTAAAATACTAAGGGCTAGTTCAGGTGAGAGGGGACCCTGGGCAGCGTCCAGCACCGGACCAGCACCGAGCTGGAGCTCTGCTCTGAGCCCAAAGCAGCATAAAAACCTCTTTGAGCATGTGCCCGTATTGAACCAAAGGCTTCATTTAAGCTGTAAGACCCACCTTCTATTTTTGGGGTGTTTGCAGTTAATTTAGCAGGGGCGGCTCAGCCCGTCCCACATGCCCAGCTCTGCATTGCTGCAGAAGTCAAGCGCAAAATTGCATTTTTCCTGCCGGGACCATAAAACCAAACGGTGTCGGAGAAGTCCTGGAGGAGCCGAGGTTTTACTGACACCCCCCGCCCTGCACCAAGCCACCTTCCTGGTGAAATAATGGAAAAGTAAATTCAAATGAATTTGGTTTCTGTGCTCACCACTGACTTTCCAAAATGCTGAGTTCTTCGCACGGAGGTTTCTCTTCCACCGTTTCTAATTCACGGCAAAGTTTTGCAGCACCTAAAACAGCTGCTGCGATTTTCAGAAATAACTTACGCTTATGAAACCCTGTTTTTATTAGACTGGATTTTAGCCTGGAGTGGGCTATGACTGTATTTCAGAGGATTTCAATATTTTTTTTTCGGTGTTCACACTGGTTTTCCACCTTTAAAAATGTAAAGCCCAAGAGCTAAACTGCAGGAGAAGGACTAGGTCCAGTCAGACTTGGCACAGCACAGCTTTCCCAGGCGTTCTGCACATTTAAACCATCGCTGAGTTTCATTTTATGTTCTTTCAGACCCTAAAATCCCTCAAATTTTCCAGTCTCACACTTCACAGAATTTTTTTTAAAGTGTTTACGAAGGGTTTTTTTTTGAAGTTAACCTCCATACTTAACCTGCTTTAGTAGCATTAATAGCGGCGGAGTTACGGTATGAACCGGTTGCCGCAGGGAGAGCAGCGCTGCGCCGGCGCGACAGAAATAACGACAAGTTTTTATCGCCAAGAGAGCTTTTTGAGAATTTCTTTGCCAAACCAGCTTGGAAGCGCGGGGCTGGGGAGCAGCCCCTGCCAGACAGAAGCGAAGGCGACAGTGATTCATCAAAAGATCTCCATCTCCCTTTCCGTCGGGGTTGCTCGCGGGGGCCATTTCCAGATGCAGTCGAGTAATTGAATACAGATAATGGGCAATTACTGGATTGTTTGTTTAGATTCTGCGTTTTTTTTTTCCCCGTGGTTATCTCTAAACAGCATTGCTCATGGCAGACGGAAAGTAAACTGTCTTGCTTTGATTTTTCTGTCCTTCGAAAACCCTTTGGTTGGAGCTCGTGGGAAGTGCAAGTGCCACCCCGTAGATTTTGCTCGTGCCAAATACGATGATAAACTCCATATCAAAAAAGCTGGGGGGAAAAAAAACCTTTCTAGACTCTCCGAAAGCCCCAGTCCTCCGTGGAGGGGCAGAGCGGCATCTTTTCCTTTTGTTCGGAGCGTAAGGAAATAACGAAGGGAGGAGGAAAAACCCCCTGTGTGAACACGAGCTGGTGTGACCGCCGGTGACCTGGCGGGTGGGAATTGGCTCCGAGGCGGCGGCAGGAATTCCTCAAAGGCAAATAAAACCTTGTCCGCTGGTTTTCCGGCAGCGCGATAGATATTTCTCCGCTTGCTTCTGCCCTGAGGAGGATGGGGCTTTCTCAAGAGCGTTTTCATGACCCCTGGGCCCCCAGCGTTGGCCGGGGAAGCTGCCACCAGCTTCCTCCCGGGCGCAGCATCCTTTCCCTCCTGGACCCGCCACTCGCGCAGGCGGGTGAGTGGGATAATCTTTTCTTTTCAGGGTGACATCACTTCCATCCCGGAGCTCGCCGACTACATCAAAGTCTTCAAGTAAGTGCTGATGGGAAGAGGTGCTTGTGAAAATGGTAATGTCTATGAATAATTAATGGTCCTACCGCCTGATATCCTTCTGGTTTTTATCTCCTGGCTTGAGATCTGGCTGCACACCCCTACGCGTGAAAAGCCACCGAGCAATACCACAGCTCAGAGCGTCTGCGCTCTCTTGCTATTACAACATTTTGCTTCTTTATCCCCCACGGGGCACAGTCACTAAGTATTTCACGCTGTTACAAAACAACCCATTCGATACTGAAGTTGATCTTATATATAAAACCCAGGGTGTTTTCCCACTGTTGCTGCCCCGGCAGGTGTGCACCCCTCCGGGAGAGCTTGCCGCGTCCCGTAGCCAGCAGCGCACGCTGGGGTGTTTCTCTCGCACTGTTAATGCCCAGGAGATCATCAAGCCATCCTAAAATGAGGGGTGAAACCTAGAAACCTTGCTCAAATACCTCTCCTGGTTTGCAAGAGGCTGGGTGAATAATAAATAGCCGAGATCCCGGTCTGTCTGCCCCCTCCTTGCCAAAAGGAGCAGGTTAAGCTGACTTTGCTTCTCTTCCAGCTCGCTCAGGATTTAAGGGTTGTTTTAATTTTTGCTTTGACTTGGACGGGGGTACGTGGAAACCGGGAACGGCAGCGTCTGGACTTTGAGTAACGTTTTGGCAGCCGCGACCGTCTTTTGCAATTTATTGCCTGCTGCGGCGAGGGTTGCAGTGAAAGTTCTGGAAACTGTGATGGGATTTCACACCGAAGCTATAGGATGTAGAAGAAAAGCTGTAGGCAGCGAAGTAGCTCTGGAACAAGCCTTTATTTTATTAATTGTTTGGTTCTGGAGCCAGAACCTACCCCTTCGGCTGTGAAAAACTCTTTCTCCCCCTCTGAAGGTCTCCGTGGCCGCCTGGGCTTGCGGTCTGGCTTAACTGGGGCAAAGTTTCAGGGTTGCAGCCTGTGCCCTGCATCTGAGTGGGGTTTTTTTTTTTTCCTCCCCTTGAACAAACACACAAACCAAAAACTTGCTCTTTCCTTGGATGTGCTGGTTTTCCAATAAAACCAGGCATGACTCGGGGAGCTACTTGCTTACAAATTGGATGTGTCACTCGGTGGGGCAGGCGATGGAGCGGCGAGAAGCTGCCGGTTCCTCACCCGGTGCAAGCCCCAAACTTTGAGATTGGGATTTGAGGCTGTCCTGCCACGGTGGGGGAGCACAGAATCGCTGTTTGCTCCTCAAAACGAGGGCCAGGCGGTATTTCACTGCCAGAAACGCAACGTAATGATGCGATGTTAAGAGCTGGCCCAGCTTTGGACGTGCCTCTTGTCACGCTTCAGCTGGGGAGGAGCTGCAGTCTATGTCCCTACACAAGCCTGGTGTTGCTGCAGAGACTCGGGATGTTTCTCTCTCCCCTGCCAGCTGGGTTACTGCCCGTGCCAGCCAGAATGCCCTGCCTGCCATTTAAAGGAGTTCCCCCAAAAAAGCTCCAGACAGTAAAAACGTATTAAAACGTCTTTAGAGAAGGATGCAAAGCGAAGGGTGGAAAAACCTGCCCCTGTAGGATGGCTTGGCTGGAGGTTGGTGACCTGTTCTGGAGCGGGAGGCAGCTTTCGAAGGAAAGGGTGGTTGTAAAGTGTGCACGGGGCAGGGCTGTGTGTGCCAGGGCTTTAGGAGGAGGAAAACCAGCAAAGGCAGGAGGGGTCAGCAGATGCCCCAAGCTCAGCTGTCCACCAGAGCTGTGGGAGCCGCGGGGTTCAAGCAGATGCCGTGTTTCTCCCCCACCTCCCTAATTTCCTCGAGCAGCCCCCAGCACGCTTCTGCTTGGAAATGAGGCCTGAGGACA